AGTTAGCCTTTAGCTTACAGTTCTGTTTTATGTAGGAGAGGGGTTATTAGTTAGCCTTTAGCTTACAGTTCTGTTTTATGTAGGAGAGGGGTTATTAGTTAGCCTTTAGCTTACAGTTCTGTTTTATATAGGAGAGAGGTTATTAGTTAGCCTTTGGCTTACAGTTCTGTTGTGAGGATTTTCTGTAAATCATCTTTTTTCACATAGACTTTATGTTGTGTCTAATGCTTGTAGATTTCAATTCATGATGGAAAGGATGCTGCTTTAATGTTGATAGTAATTAGCATGGTGTATATATCTTGTTGACAGAGAGCAGAGAGTTTACAAAGTGGTGTCATTCTGTCTCAAAAGACAAAGTTGACAGTCTTGCATCTCTGTCTTAAAACTTGTTGACAGTCTTGTGTTACATTGTGTCAACACTTATGGGTAGAAAGTTAAAGGTTTTGTGTCTCTGTGTTAATGCTTGTTGACAGTCTTGTGTTACATTGTGTCAACACTTTCTGTTAGATAGTTGAGGGTCTTGTGTCTCTGTGTTATAGTGACAGTCTTGTGTCTCTGTGTAAACACTTGTTGACAGTCTTGTGTTACATTGTGTGAACATTTTTGGATAGAAAGTTAAGAGTCTTGTGTCTGTGTGTGAACACTTGTTGACAGTCTTGTGTTACATTGTGTGAACACTTATGGGTAGAAAGTTAAAGGTCTTGTGTCTCTGTGTTAATGCTTGTTGACAGTCTTGTGTTACATTGTGTCAACACTCTCTGTTAGAAAGTTGAGGGTCTTGTGTGTCTGTGTTATAGTGACAGTCTTGTGTCTCTGTGTAAACATTTGTTGACAGTCTTGTGTTACATTGTGTGAACACTTTCGGGTAGAAAGTTAAGGGCCTTGTGTCTCTGTGTTAATGCTTGTTGACAGTCTTGTGTTACATTGTGTCAACATTTTCGGTTAGAAAGTTGAGGGTCTTGTGTCTCTGTGTTAGTGCTTGTTGACAGTCTTTTGTCACTCTGTGTAAACACTTGTTGATAGAGTTGACTGTCTTGTGTCTGTATGTGAAGACTTGTTGACAGTCTTGTGTTACATTGTGTGAACACTTTCTGTTAGAAAGTTGAGGGTCTTGTGTCTCTGTGTTATTGTGACAGTCTTGTGTCTCTGTGTAAACATTTGTTGACAGTCTTGTGTTACATTGTGTGAACAATTTCGGGTAGAAAGTTGAGGGTCTTGTGTGAGGTATCAAACAGCTGTTACTTGGAGGTCATATATTACTCTGTATACACAGCTTGTTGGTGGAGAGTTGATGACTTGGCCCCAATTACAAATATTTACCGTTTCTTTAAAGGGAAACTTTTCTTTACAAACTTGAAATAGCTCAGTCTCTGATAATAGTTCAGTAACCAAACCAATTGTTTGTTCATTTACCTTTTATAAACAGATTTGAATATAAAAGGATTGGGAAGTGAATTAAAATGCCCGTCTTTAAGAAAGCATGTTTGTATAACTTAAATGCTAAAATTGAAGTTTTAACACTCCAGAGTGATTCTATACATTGTGGCAACTGCAATCTCCTCTACTGTTGAAGGATGTGAGGATGGATGTTTGTGTAATAACAGGCTGGGTTTCACTGTTTTTTTTAGTGTATGGATAATTCTTGATCTCTGCTAGCTAGCTGGTAAATGGAGGCACGGTAGTCTAGTGGTAGGACACCGGGCTCATGACCGAAGGGTTGCGGGTTTCGAGTCACGGCACAGCACTGTGTTGTATCTTTGAGCAAGATACTTTACTCCACTTGTTCCAGTCTATTCAGCTGTAAATGAGTATGTGGTTGGGCAGTGCTAGAAATGTAGAATGCTAGCTGTTAGCCCCAAAACGGCAGCTCCGGCTGTATGCTCCCCAGGGAGTTGAGAAAGATATTGGCTGGTTGCAAAGGCCCTATAACCACAGATAATAACCTACGAACTAGGTTGTGATAAAGCGGTATATAAGCACCTCAAATTATTAGTTATTATTATTACTGCATAGAAGTTTAAGGCTTTTGTTCACAGGGTTCAATAAATTTGTAGTAAATACAAATTGTATGTGTGTAGTTCACATAGTTTTTTCTTTTATCAAGTAATTTGATGTCTGATTTATCTGGTATAATATAAGCATACTAGATACAATGCTACCTTATTTTACTCTTTTAAAGAATACTGGCAGCTGGCCTCAATGTTGTTCACAACATACAACATATTAAAATTGATACAAATACTTTAAGATTTGATACAAACTGTAAACCATTACTGATTAGGAGTGGACCTTGATACAAACCATCACTATGACAGGGCTTAAAACTGGATACAAACTGTAAACTATTACTGATTAGGAGTGGACCTTGATACAAACCATCACTATAACTGGGAGTAAAACTGGATATAAACTGTAAACCATTACTGATTAGGAGTGGACCTTGATACAAACCATCACTATGACAGGGCGTAAAACTGGATGTAAACTGTAAAACATTACTGATTAGGAGTGGACCTTGATACAAACCATCACTATAACTGGGAGTAAAACTGGATATAAACTGTAAACCATTACTGATTAGGAGTGGACCTTGATACAAACCATCACTATGACAGGGCGTGGACCTTAGTCTCATTATAATTACTGCACTTATCTGTTTATAAAATGAAAGTGGTCTGAGAATGAAGGGTGGGAAGGAACTTAGGAAGCTTGTTTCCTTAAAGCTTTTAATTACCACTAATGAGACAAGAAAGGAAGTACTGATATTGTGTTAATAATTTTTTCAGCTTCAGAAGCCTTCGTACGTGAGTTTCGTAGGAACGGCACCTGTCGTAGAAAGGTTGTATGCCACATTTAAGGAGGTAATTACCAGTGTTGTGTTTTTATGTGAAGATATATAATGTCAACAGTTATAGGTACATACTTATATCCTTTGTGTCAGCAGTTATAGGTACATACTTATATCCTCTGTGTCAACAATGACAGCTACATACTTATATCCTTTGTGTCAACAGTGATAGGTACATACTTATATTACTTATATCCTCTGTGTCAACAGTGATAAGTACATACTTATATCCTCTGTGTCAACAGCGATAGGTACATACTTATATCCTTTGTGTCAGCAGTTATAGGTACATACTTATATCCTCTGTGTCAACAATGACAGCTACATACTTATATCCTTTGTGTCAACAGTTATAGGTACGTACTTATATCCTCTGTGTCAACAGTGATAGGGACATACTTATATCCTTTGTGTCAACAGTGATAGGTGCATACTTATATCCTTTGTGTCAACAGTGATAGGTACATACTTATATTACTTATATCCTCTGTGTCAACAGTGATAGGTACATACTTATATTACTTATATCCTCTGTGTCAACAGTGATAAGTACATACTTATATCCTCTGTGTCAACAGTTACAGGTACATACTTATATCCTCTGTGCCAACACTGATAGGTACATACTTATATCCTTTGTGTTAACAGTGATAGGTAAATACTTATATCCTCTGTGTCAACAGTGATAAGTACATACTTATATCCTCTGTGTCAACAGTTACAGGTACATACTTATATCCTCTGTGCCAACACTGATAGGTACATACTTATATCCTTTGTGTTAACAGTGATAGGTAAATACTTATATCCTCTGTGTCAACAGTGATAAGTACATACTTATATCCTCTGTGTCAACAGCGATAGGTACATACTTATATCCTTTGTGTCAATAGTGATAGGTACATACTTATATCCTTTGTGGCAACAGTTATACAGCCAGATTATAAACTCATTGAAAGTAAAGATATCATCAAATAAACAACAGTGATAGGTACATACTTATATCCTTGGTGTCAACAGTTATAGGTACATACTTATATCCTCTGTGTCAACAGCGATAGGTACATACTTATATCCTTTGTGTCAGCAGTTATAGGTACATACTTATATCCTCTGTGTCAACAGCGATAGGTACATACTTATATCCTTTGTGTCAGCAGTTATAGGTACATACTTATATCCTCTGTGTCAACAATGACAGTTACATACTTATATCCTTTGTGTCAACAGTGACAGGTACATACTTATAACCTGTGTCAACAGTGATAGGTACATACTTATATCCTCTATGTCAACAGTGATAGGTACATACTTATATTACTTATATCCTCTGTGTCAACAGTGATATGTACATACTTATATCCTCTGTGTCAACAATGACAGTTACATACTTATATCCTTTGTGTCAACAGTTATACAGCCAGATTATAAACTCATTGAAAGTAAAGATATCATCAAATAAACAACAGTGATAGGTACATACTTATATCCTTGGTGTCAACAGTTATAGGTACATACTTATATCCTCTGTGTCAACAATGACAGCTACATACTTATATCCTTTGTGTCAACAGTTATACCCAGATTATAAACTCATTGAAAGTAAAGATATCATCAAATAAACAACAGTGATAGGTACATACTTATATCCTTTGTGTTAACAGTGATAGGTACATACTTATATCCTCTATGTCAACAGTGATAGGTACATACTTATATTACTTATATCCTCTGTGTCAACAGTGATAGGTACATACTTATATCCTTTGGGTCAACAGTGATAGGTACATACTTATATCATCTGTGTCAACAGTGACAGGTACATACTTATATCCTTTGTGTCAACAGTGGAAGGTACATACTTATATCCTTTGTGTCAACATTGATAGGTACATACTTATATCCTTTGTGTCAGCAGTTATAGGTACATACTTATATCCTCTGTGTCAACAGTTACAGGTACATACTTATATCCTCTGTGCCAACACTGATAGGTACATACTTATATCCTTTGTGTTAACAGTGATAGGTAAATACTTATATCCTCTGTGTCAACAGTGATAGTTACATACTTATATCCTTTGTTTCAACAGTCATAGGTACATACTTATATCCTTTGTGTCAACATTGATAGGTACATACTTATATCCTTTGTGTCAACAGTGATAGGTACATACTTATATCCTTTGTGTCAACAGTTATACAGCCAGATTATAAACTCATTGAAAGTAAAGATATCATCAAATAAAGTCTGATATCAACATCTTAAAAAATGACATAGAAGATGAATGTTCAATCTATTTAATGTATAAATCTTCTGTCCTGTTTATACAACATAATTATACTGATGGTAGTCAGTCATGTTTACATATTGAAGTATTTTAAAGTGCAGGAAAACACTGAGTCTTTAAATTTCGACTAAGATCAAAAAAGCTTGTTTGTCAAATGTATATTTTTATGTAGATCCGTTTTAGAAATGACTATCTGTGACAATATTAACAGTACTCTCTAACACACACCGCTGGATTGATAACTCACCTAACATTTCAGACATTTTTTTTCCACCTGTGTGACTTGCACTAATAGTGTTTTTATGCTCTCAACAAAATAGAGGTTCATTGTAGGGGGGCTTAATTGTTCTCGATTCCCTCACTTTATAAAAATAAATAATAGTTTTTGTTTTTGATACATCAGATGCACGGAAAACCTACTGATTACACAGGTAAATAAACTTACATGTGTGATTTGTGGGTTTAATGTGGAATTGACTATAATTGGATTGCCTTTGTCTCCCTTTCTCAATATTACTTTTGTTCTTCAAAAAATGGGGGGAACGAGAAAACCCCGGATGGGGATTGGGTGGGGTGGGAGAAGATGAATTGCTAATTACAAGGTATCTGTTTATCCACTCCTTGTAGTCAATACATCTGGGAATGTATGAAAGATTTTTGTCGGAGTTGTACCTACATATATTACACCCATTCTATTTCTGAAGTCCTTTGTCCAAGGTCTATACAATCAGTGTTTTATAAATTTGAGTGTCATATGATCTAAACAAGGAAAGCTGAGTATTGTCTATAACAGACTTCATGACTGAGAGAATACATTTAATCATGCTGATTACTACTGAATCCTGTACTTGGTTAACTGATGGAGCTCAACAGATCAAATGTTCACACATCTCAGTCTGTACATTTTTCCTTTTTCCTTTTTTTTTTCAAATTAAAGAATCAGTCACGCTAATGCACCCAGAAAGGAAAGAATGGACAGTATCATTTGATCTGTAAAGTCATGTTTTTATCTAATTATGGGGAAATTATGAAATTGCTGACCAGTAACTGGGTAAGCCAAGCTAGCTGTACATGTGTGTCGATACGCTCACTAATCTGAATGATAATGATTATTATGACATGCTGACTTTGTATGACATGCCCACAAACCTGTATGACATGCCTACTGTTCTACATGACATGCCCACAAACCTGTATGACATGCCTACTGTTCTACATGACATGCCCACTAATTTGTGATATGCCTACTAACACCTCTCCCCAGCCTCCAGGTCTAGAGGCCAAGGAATGTGCTGTCTGTGACCACAAGTGTGTTCGCCATGAGATACATATGAAGCAGCACAAGCAAAGGATGAAATGTGGAATATGTGGACTGTATCATCAGGATGAGCTCCCTCCCAACCATCTACACACCAACAGACTCGTGGTAACGTCCCTCCAAACCATCTACACACCAATAGACTCGTGGTAACGTCCCTCCCAACCATCTACACACCCACAGACTCGTGGTAACATCCCTCCAAACCATCTACACACCAACAGATTCGTGGTAACATCCCTCCCAACCATCTACACACCAACAGACTCGTGGTAACGTCCCTCCCAACCATCTACACACCAACAGATTCGTGGTAACATCCCTCCCAACCATCTACACACCCACAGACTCGTGGTAACGTCCCTCCAAACCACCTCCACACAAACAAACTCATGGTAACGTCCCTCCCAACCATCTACACACCCACAGACTCGTGGTAACGTCCCTCCAAACCATCTACACACCAACAGACTCGTGGTAACATCCCTCC